CTTGGGGACACATTGGCAGGGATTTGCCCTCAACTATCTGCCAGGATCTGTCTTGGTTGACTCTACCAACCTCCACCCAGCAAATAATCTAGTCAGCTTCTGGGAGCTATTGTGAGTCACTCGCTGTGTGACCTTGGACAGGTCAAATAACTTCTCCACACAAAATTAAATGCCTTCACTGCCCACTGCCACTGCCCTTTCCCCAGGTAAGCTGGTGCCTCCTCCTGAATTCAAACCTCAGTTGGTGTCACCCACCACTATCTGTGCAGGAAACCTCAGCTAGAATCCTGGGGATTCATTCTTGACTCCTCCTCTCCCTTACCCACATCTCCTAACGGTTTTTATGTGAAGCATTACTGGAATTAGATCCCCCGTTTTAACAACTACTTTCCTGAAGAAGCCCCATCGCCTGGACCAGGGGACTTCTTTCTGAAGTGGACACCCTGCTTTTGAATCTCCCTGAAAGTTATTCCCTACGCGGCCATCACAAGTCTGACCAAGTTAACTCCCCTGGCCCCACACGCGCCCCAAGGCTGGCAGTGAAGAATCACACAATGGCTGTGAGACCTTGGGCAAGTCCCCCTATCTCCTTTGCCTGCGTGTCTTGTGGTGTAATGAGTCCGACACGGCACCTAGCTCAGAGGTCAGTTGTCAGGAATGAGCGCTCCATGCAAAGTGCTTAGTGTGGTGCCTGCAGCACAGGAAGCCTTAAGCGATGTCACTGGAGTTACTGTGACTATGACTTTCCCAACCTGCAGTCCATGGAGGTCCATGGATGAGCCTCAGGGGGTCCATGAAGTCCCTGAAATTGCATGGAAAACTTTGTCTGCACATGTATTTTTCCGGGGGAGAGGGTCCAGAGCTCCTATCAGAGACCTACAGTTTGAGCCACTGCACCCCAAGCCCTGAAAGCCTGAGGACAGAGTGAGACAGCCTGTCCCACAGGCTTCCAGTTTCCTTCCTCCCTTGCCCCCACTACCCTCCTCTTCCCCTCAATTAGAAGCACAGCCCTGCTCCACCTGTACCTGGTCCCTGGGAATCCCAGTCCCCTGCTGCCTCCCCCATTCACACCCACACACGGAGCATCCCACCTGGTCAGTTCCCACATCTCCTATCCCCAGAGCCCTCTGCTGAGGGAAGCCAAGAACCTCCATGTGCCCAACACGACACCCCTGCCTTCGGGCCGCTCCCCGCTGCTTCCGTCCCTCTACCTCACCACTCTTCCCACAGGTCCAGTCAGGCAGGTGTGAGCATGGAGGCCCTCTCCAGCTCTCATCACCAGCTCACCAGCTTCCCTTCTCGGTTTCTCAATGTGAAACTGCTCAGAGCAAGACCCGAAGACCCACAGCTCACCTGAGGCCAGGCTGTCAGGAGCATGGCCGCCATTGCTTCTGCTCCCTCTCAGAGAAGGGCTGGAGCTAAGGAAAAGCACAGAGGGAGACAAGCGTGAGGTAAGCCACCCCGCCCAAGAAGAGAAGATCTAAGATGCAGGCAGCCTGTGTCCACACAGGAGTGTGAGCAGGAGCTGCCACAGGAAGATGGGGCTGATCTGTTCAATCGCTCAGAACCCCGGACTCCTCCCAGCCATGACGCTGATGCTCACTGCCAGGAACCCTAGGATTTTACAACTCTGACACACATCACACACACACACACACACACACACACACACACACACACGAGTGTACATAAAAATGTATGCAGAGCCTAGAGAATAAAACAAAGACTCGAGGAGCAGTGCTTCAGCTCAAGAGACAGACAATACCAAGATCTTTGATTTATTTCTCTCTCTAAACAAGTATCACCCTCGGTCCCCCTGAAAGAGAAGACAGGCAGGAGGTGCTGCAGCCCCAGCACAGAGCCCCGGGTCAGGCCCAGGGAGGCAGCAGCTGGAAGGGACAGCTGCTCCCCCACATCTTGCCTCTCTCCTCACACAGATGAGAGTCCTCAAGGGTCTGATGTCTCTGTAGAGACCTTGGGAGGCCAGCCTCCCCCATGGCCCAGCCTTACCTTCCGGAAGCTGGGCCAAAAGTGAGGTACCAGGCTGCCTCCTCACACTTCCCAGCCTGCTGAGAGCAAAGAAGCCGAGATCTCAGCGACCGGGCAGAGGGGATCGCTGTGGCATGTAGGGCCCCATGACCCAAAGCCCCGTGCTCACCATGTTCAAAAACACACGGAGTGGTTATTTTCTGATTCTCACCGATCCTAAATTCAGTCTTGAAAATGTATGCTTTCCTAAAATTTCATCTACGTCTTCCAGGATTTCAACTTTGGCACAGGTGTGGGAAAAACTGGTCTATGACTTTCTTCACTTCCTCCATATCTGGAGCTACTTTGCTTTTTCCACTTCTTTTGAATATATATGCTTTTAGACCTCTTCCCTCGGTAAATTTTGTGTCCCCACAAAATTCCTATGTTAAAGTTCTAACCCCTGAGGCAGTAATAAGATTAAATGCGGTCATAAGGGCGGGGCCAAATCTAATAGGGCTGATGCACTTACAAGAAAAGGAAGAGCTCTTTTCTGGTTTTTGCAGCACGAGGACCCATGAGCAGCAAAGTCTCCCACGACACCCTCTTCTGGGCAGTGCGGGAGGTGCTGCAAAGGAACCAGGCAAGCGCCGGAAGTTTATGGAGACAGTGGAGCTGCAGATTGGCCTGAAGAACTATGACCCTCAGGGGACAAACGCTTCTCGGGCACCATCAGGCTTAAGTCCAGGCCCCGCCCCAAGTTCTCCAGGCGTGTTCTGGGCGACCAGCAGCGCTGTGATGAGGCCAAGGCCGTGGACATCCCGCACATGGAC